TTAGCAGTGGTTCAGTGTTTACTGGTTCTGGTGAATTAGCAGTGGTTCAGTGTTTACTGGTTCTGGTGAATTAGCAGTGGTTCAGTGTTTACTGGTTCTGGTGAATTATTAGTAGTAGTCACTCCAAAGAAATTACAGAACTGGACTAAAGAACTAACTGGGAATTTCAACTGGTTCTTAGAAAAAGTAAATACACACAACTGCATTTTGTACTTACACTGTCCACTTGTAAGACTGTGATTCCCCCTCTATGACCATGAAGAGTATACACACACACAGCTGAATCCCACTTGAACACCTAGAAAACAATATCAACAGTCTTAATACAATACTGGTTATCAAACAAACATATAATAGTTCTAATTAGTCTAACTAACAGGTAACGATTCTCCAGCTATGTATAAGTCAGCATGTTTAATATTTGTAGCAGAAACAATATTAAGTTTCCTTCACAATATGTACCACTTCAACGAGTCAGAATGAAGATACTTTTCTTGTGAAATAAAAATACTTTGTTAAGGTAAATGTAAAACAGATTTATGTTATATACTTATTTACATTGTTTAACAATATAATTTCAACAAACAAGCATAACTTACTTTTTCCCTGGCTTTGAAATTAATACAAATCTAATAAAATTTAAAAGTATTAGTTTTATATTAAATTCCAAAGTTTGGTAAATACATGTCACCAAACTTACTAGTCCTATCGTAATGTCTAGTTCTTTTCTAAATAGTTTGCTGTTTTATAGATAATTAAAAGACATGTTAAATCTATTGCCTCTCATAAACTCTTTACATATTATACTATTCCATGGTTTGTAACACATCTGTTTGGAGTTTACTTGTTCTACATACTATACTACTCCATGGTTTGTAACGCATCTGTTTGGAGTTTCCTTGTTTTACATATTATACTATTCCATGGTTTGTAACGCATCTGTTTGGAGTTTACTTGTTTTACATATTATACTATTCCATGGTTTGTAACGCATCTGTTTGGAGTTTACTTGTTCTACATACTATACTACTCCATGGTTTGTAACGCATCTGTTTGGAGTTTCCTTGTTTTACATATTATCCTATTCCATGGGTTGTAACACATGTGTTTGGAGTTTCCTTGTTTTACATATTATACTACTCCATGGTTTGTAACACATCTGTTTGGAGTTTACTTGTTCTACATACTATACTACTCCATGGTTTGTAACGCATCTGTTTGGAGTTTCCTTGTTTTACATATTATACTATTCCATGGTTTGTAATACATCTGTTTGGAGTTTCCTTGTTTTACATATTATACTATTCCATGGTTTGTAATACATCTGTTTGGAGTTTACTTGTTTTACATATTATACTACTCCATGGTTTGTAATGCATCTGTTTGGAGTTTCCTTGTTTTACATATTATACTACTCCACGGTTTGTAACACATCTGTTTGGAGTTTCCTTGTTTTACATATTATACTATTCCATGGTTTGTAACGCATCTGTTTGGAGTTTCCTTGTTTTACATATTATACTATTCCACGGTTTGTAACGCATCTGTTTGGAGTTTCCTTGTTTTACATATTATACTATTCCACGGTTTGTAACGCATCTGCTTGGAGTTTCCTTGTTTTACATATTATCCTATTCCATGGTTTGTAACGCATCTGTTTGGAGTTTCCTTGTTTTACATATTATACTGTTCCATGGTTTGTAATGCATCTGTTTGGAATTTCCTTGTTTTACATATTATCCTATTCCATGGTTTGTAATGTATCTGTTTGGAGTTTCCTTGTTTTACATATTAGCCTATTCCATGGTTTGTAACGCATCTGTTTGGAGTTTCCTTGTTTTTCAGGAACATCTAAAAGCTGTTTTGTTGATTTCCATGGACTATTTTCAGTGTTAGTAACACATTCACAAGTTTGTAACTATTCATAACACAAGTGTTTTTCTCTTTATTACTTGTGTTTCCTACAATGTACAGAACTAATAAAATAAAAATATCATTACTATCAACTATATTACTATCATTTCACAAATAAAACATATCTTTAAAGCAAGTAAACCTAGTAATATTATAATCATCACATTTGTATTATTTAATATTCAAAACTAGCCTGACTAAGCAAAAATAAATAAAAAAAAGAAAATCTACCTTTATCAAGCAGTCAAGACTTCCTGAAACAACGTGACCACCTTCCACAACTAATGTTGTGATTGGTTGTGTGTGGGCTCTAAGTCCCTGCAGCCACACACACACCACTTCTTCCTCTCCACTTTCCTCGGTGTTTGGGCTTGGTTCTCGTTCACCTACAGAAGGAGAAGGTAAACATCAGTAGAAAGGTAAACTATAGATCATTTTGTTAAATATTTCTACAGAGATGTTACAACACTCCAATCTACAAATGTCATGTTTACATATAGTTTTTAACTGTATCAGCTCTTTTTGTCAAAGATGTTATAATATTCCAATCTTGCGTGATATTTTTTATGTCTGACTACTGTAAATTGATGTATTTTTTACACAGGTTCCATGTGAGATCTCAAGCAGAAACATTATATACTGTTAATGAATACATCATCATTAATTTACTAAAATAACTGCATTTAATCACTTTTATATATTCCTGGAATGCACCATCATAGTTTTAAAAGATTATGAGAACGTATATCCACTTGTATTTAATTTTTAGTTTTAATAGATTTATATTAAAAATGTGTTAACAAACCACACATCTACCATTAAATGTTAATTGTAAACATTTAAAACTGTAAAAAATCATTTAATTATCAGCTTTTGGATAAACATTTAACAAATATATTTCATTTATTATCTGTGATATTCTTAAGATAGAAATAAGAAGAAGAAACTCTTCTGAAGCAAAATATAATGCCATGTAAATGATAACATGATCTAACCTTCATGCTGAGATGATGCTGTTAACTGGAGAAATTCCAAAACTCCGTTCAACCTCGCAACTACTAATCTGTAGAAGAATGAAATTAGCAAGTAAGTAAGGTTCTTGTATTAGTATCTACTGTGAACTTAGATCTATCAGTGAACATTAAGCTACTTTCCGGATCTTCTTGTGGGTATGGCACCTTCTCATAGCTCAAAGTTTTACGTCAAAACAAACTTAACATTCACAAAACTGAACTAACGTACAATTACAACCAAACTGTCTAACTAACTCAATAACAAAACATTTACCTACTTTAACCTAATTCACATTATATACTGCTCAACTCATTCCCTAAACTATCAAGAAGGTTCTGGTCAGTAAACCATACTGATAACATGATGTTAAACCTCCCTCTAGCCCAAGAATAATACAAACATCACCATTAAAAAACATATTTTCCAATCCTTCAACACTAGCTTGCACATTTTATCATGCTGATCCAGCTTTATTTTTTATTCTAATTAAATGCTTTAAATATTTTTTATATTTTAAAAACTAATACTTTGGTGTTAAAACAAACATCAGGTAAGATATTTTTTCATGTACTACAAGTCTTTTTATAACTAGCTTTTTACCAAGAATCCAATCTCATTGTTTTGTCAGTATCTTTTCTACCATCCTGTGTTTATTATCAAAGAATTGGAGGTTCTGCACATGAAAAATTCATGTTATCAGACTCGTGTCTTGGCCTCTTTAGAACAATATTTCAAATCAATCGCTACCAACTACACAACACTTGAACCATATTTGTAACATCCCCCCCATGATCCACAAATGTCTAGAAGAGAGTGGACAGCATATGATAGATATAAGTGGATATTTCAATTTTCTTTTCATACTGGTAATAACAGACATTACATCTACCATAATACTATCCTAGAATCTACAAACTGAAACAGAAATGCTAGAGGATGGGCAACTATCCATGTCCATAGGAATAGTGTAATACCATCATAAACTTGCACATTACAGGAATATAACACTACTGGTAGTTATACGAGAACATTCTGTTTGTTCTAAACCATCTCACTATTATTCTGGGTCCTGGACAACATCCTTGTTGATATAAAACTCCACACCATCTCACTATTATGCTGGGTCCTGGACAACATCCTTGTTGATATAAAACTCCACACCATCTCACTATTATTCTGGGTCATGGACAACATCTTTGTTGATATAAAACTTCACACTATCTCACTATTATGCTGGGTCATGGACAACATCCTTGTTGATATAGAACTTCACACTATCTCACTATTATGCTGGGTCCTGGACAACACCTTTATTGATATCAAACTCCATACCATCTCACTATTATTCTGGGTCCTGGACAACATCTTTATTGATATAAAACTCCACAACATCTCACTATTATGCTGGGTCCTGGACAACATTCTTGTTGATATTATGCCTACAAAAGGGCCATCTGTGACAGTCAATATTGGTTCTTCATGGTTTCTTTCTTTTTAACAATGAAACTAACATATACTTCTTGTCAGGATTCTAAAGATGCTGGATACAAAAGTGTGACTATACACAAAAGCACATTGTAAGAAACACTGAACATATATTCTTAAAGTCTGGTATTCATAATACATAGATATGTTTATGGCCAGATCTTACACACCTTCTTCCAATCATTTGAAGAGAAGTGACTCCTAACTGACTATCTTCGTATACTGTTCTCAACACTCCAGCCAGTGCATCCCATACCTAGTGAATATAATAAAAACATTGGATAAGTTCCTGGCACTGACCAGTGCATCCTATACCTAAGTGAATACAATAAAAATATTGGATAAGTTCTCAACACTGACCAGTGCATCCTAAACACAGTGAATACAATAAAAATATTGGATAAGTTCTCAACACTAACCAGTGCATCACACTCTTAATGAATATGGTAAAAACATCAATTTAAAAAATAATAATAACAAAGATCAACATAAGCCATTGAAAGCCACAACTGCTACAATACCAAATATAATGAGAAGATGAAGTACTCAGACTATCTAGTGGTCAGAGAGTTACTACACGATACACAACAGACTATCTAGTGGTCAGAAAGTTACTACACGATACACAACAGACTATCTAGTGGTCAGAAAGTTACTACACGATACACAACAGACTATCTACTGGTCAGAAAGTTACTACACGATACACAACAGACTATCTACTGGTCAGAAAGTTACTACACAATACACAACAGACTATCTACTGGTCAGAGAGTTACTACACGATACACAACAGACTATCTACTGGTCAGAGAGTTATTATGCAATACACAACAGACTATCTACTGGTCAGAAAGTTACTACACGATACACAACAGACTATCTACTGGTCAGAAAGTTACTACACGATCCACAACAGACTATCTACTGGTCAGAAAGTTACTACACAATACACAACAGACTGTCTACTGGTCAGAGAGTTACTACACGATACACAACAGACTATCTACTGGTCAGAGAGTTACTACACGATACACAACAGACTATCTACTGGTCAGACAGTTACTATGCGATATGCAATAAACTATCTAGTGGTCAGACAGTTACTACACGATACACAACAGACTATCTAGCGGTCAGACAGTTACTATGCGATATGCAACAGACTATCTAGTGGTCAGACAGTTACTATGCGATATGCAACAGACTACCTAGTGGACCATAAGCTACTATGCGATACGCAACAGACTATCTAGTGGTCAGACAGTTACTACACGATACACAACAGACTATCCAATTGTCAGACAGTTACTACACGATACACAACAGACTATCCAATTGTCAAACAGTTACTACAAGACACACAACAAACTATCTAGTGGTCACACACTTACTACAGGATATACAACTTGCCCATACAGATATTACTAAGGCATAGTCTAATATTGATAGCCTTCAACCTTCTTTGTTTACAGAGCAATAAATGACAGAACCACTTCCCACATCCTCTCTTTCACAAATTGCCAATGATTTTCTGATATTTGCTAAAACTAATAGAAAGACAAACTTTTAATTTACTGAATGATGTTTAATGCTACCTTGTTCTGAGTAGAGATTCTTTACTATATTACCTTCAGTTTGAAAGTTACTATTAGAGAGCTCAGATAGAATACCTTATACCTTAGTTACAAAGCCAGTTAAAATTATAATAGTTACACAAGATCATTTTGCTTTGTGCATATTATTATTTTGTCTTTTTTAAGTGAATACTTGAAATAAAAAAAATTATTTCAAATACTGGTATCATCATTACAAAAAAAAACAAGAAGCTAAACCTAAGTACTAAATTTCTTATTTTTTATGAATTTTATTTATTGTTATAAAAGTAATTAAAATAAAATTAGAAACTCATTAGGTTAAATAAGTACAGATAATGAAAAAAAAAACAATAAAAAACATGTACACAAGGTATCTAATGTCATGTATGTCATTGAATACATTAACTCGAGTTACACATTTGCCAAGCTTGTATTGCAGGATTATTAGTTCAAAGAGTAACAAAACAATAAAATTAAGTAGAAACAGATGTACACTGTTAAAGCTTTAAGCTATTTAGGATAAACAATTGAAGTTTTTTTATTGAAACTTGCAGTCAATCTAGAAAAACAAAAGGGTAATTTAGATTTACTTATAAAGTTTTACAGGAAAGTTTGGTATTCATTTAAGAGGTTTTAGATTTGAAAATCATAAGATGAATAAAAGTATTTTTAATCCTAGCATAAAAATCACCATGCACTCAGTCTAATCAACACTCTGACTCCACAAATTCATAAACAAATCTTTAGTAAAAATACTAAATAAAAAAAATCCAACTTTCTGTGCACAAAAGACTTGTGTGCTTACTAAAAGCTTCCCAAATGTCATGTAGATACCTGAATGAAATTAAATGTTATAGTATGGATATTTTCTTAGGTACTGAGCCCACATGGAAAAAGTTTATTAAGCACCAAGAATATTTTACTGAACTTATCTTCTATACAAGTCTATCTCAATGACCTAAAATAAACCAACTTCAAAGAGCTGTTACATCTACATCATTATACCGAAAACTATTCTCTATACATCCACCTACATAAACCAACTTTTACATCTAAAATATTTCACTGAAAAATTAAATACACCTTCACAACCTAAAACAAACCAGATTCATCCAGCTCTTACATCCAGAATTTTTTATGTAAAAAACTAACCTCAATACGTCCACCTTCACAACTAAAACAAACCAAATTCATCCAGAATTTTTTATGTGAATAACTAACCTCAATACGTCCACCTCCACAACCTAAAACAAGCCAGCCTCCTTGACAGTCCATGCACCACAGAGGCTGGTAGCTCAGTGGAGAATGATGAGTAGTGCCATTGTTCTTTGAGGTCTCCTCTGCTGTAATTTGGATTTCTTCATCAAGTTCATTTCCATCACTCTGGTTCCTCTTATGACATTTCCATGTGTCTATTAGTCTGTCTCTTCCCAAAAGTTTTACATCTTTTGTTTTAAAGGCTCTGCTGAAGTCGTAGCCATGCTTCATTGAGTGGAAGAAAAATCCACCAGCAGAATGATCATCTTGACTAGAGGGTTGGCTGGTGACAAATCGAGAAGCTGAATCCACCATCTTTCTGAGAAATCCAGGTGGTCGATACGTTGACTGGACAGAAAAGTAGTCCCCAGTTTCAGACGTTGGTGAAGAACCATACGTAGAATCTGACGAGAAGCTGCCACTGCCCCTGATGTGAGTTCCAGACTCTGACTTGTTCACAATAGGGCTGTAAGACAAACTTGATATTTGGAAAACGTTCTTTTCCAGTAGAAATTTAGTAAAAAAAAAACAAAGCATAAGGTACGTAAGGACAGGAGCACTAGCACAAAATACAGGTGTGTTGTTTATTCTAATGAAGATGTAATAAGATACACAGGAACATGAATTAAAATTTTCAGGCATATTAACAATCTCTAACTTAATTAAAATAACTTATGTTTCTAAAACAAAGATTGAAAGAACAAGATAATTTTATCGCTGAAAGTAGATAGAGAAATTCTAGTTGAATATTAATATTTTCTTTCCTGAACATTTGCATTTAGAAACATTTAACATGAGAAGAGAAGAATACTTTGTCTTGATTTATACATTAGTACTGGCCTTAAAACACAGATCAGTAGTGGACTACAGTAGTACTGGCCTTAAAAACACAGATCAGTAGTGGACTACAGTAGCACTGGCCTTAAAAACACAGATCAGTAGTGGACTACAGTAGTACTGGCCTTAAAACACAGATCAGTAGTGGACTACAGTAGTACTGGCCTTAAAACACAGATCAGTAGTGGACTACAGTAGTACTGGCCTTAAAACACAGATCAGTAGTGGACTACAGTAGTACTGGCCTTAAAACACAGATCAGTAGTGGACTACAGTAGTACTGGCCTTAAAACACAGATCAGTAGCGGACTACAGCAACTTAATTTTTAGCAACCTCTAGACTCCAAACAGCAAGATCACAGAGTTTAAGAGGACTGTTCCCTTCAAAGAATTATTCTTTATGTTGAGGCTCAAAGTAAATGCCTAAATGTTATTCTATGGAACTAAATGTCATGAATTTTTCCATGCTTTGGGGAGAAATAAAAAAAAATTAATACATTTTAATACATTATTACATGGATCTCATGATCGTTGTCAAACATTTACTATAAAACACATTACTTGGATCTGATGATCGTTATCAAACATTTATTATAAAATATATTACCTGAATCTGATGATCGTTGTCAAACATTTACTATAAAACATATTGCCTGGATCCGATGATCATTGTCAAACATTTACTATAAAATATATTACCTGGATCTGATGATCGTTGTCAAACACTTACTATAAAACATATTACATGGATCTGATGATCGTTGTCAAACATTTACTATAAAACACATTACTTGGATCTGATGATCATTGTCAAACATTTATTATAAAACATATTGCCTGGATCTGATGATGGTTGTCAAACATTTACTATAAAATATATTACCTGGATCTGATGATCGTTGTTAAACATTTACTCTAAAACATATTACCTGGATCTGATGATCGTTGTCAAACATTTATTATAAAACATATTACCTGGATCTGATGATCGTTGTCAAACATTTATTATAAAACATATTACCTGGATCTGATGATTGTTGTCAAACATTTACTATAAAATATATTACCTAGATCTGATGATCGTTGTCAAACATTCTCCTGACAACGAGTCCCAGACTCTTATGTCACCAGCCAAGCAGGAACTGATTATCATCTTATCTTCTGTTAAGATGTACTCAATTTCCTGAGAAATAAAACACTAAAAATGGTCAGAGCAAGTTTTCACCTGTTTCTTTTTCAATATTTTAATCAGTTTGAACACAAGAACCTGGAGTGAATGGCCTCAATGGCCACAGCAACAAGTGTAACTAAACCTAAGTCTTAAGATAAGTTTTTTTCTTTTCTTTTAAAAGGCACATACATTTTGTTATTAACATCACTGAAAGATTCCTTTGCTAATCTGAAGTGTATCTCCATTTGGATACTGACATCAAAGCTCTTCTCAAATTTCAAATCTAAATACCAGTTTTTTTTTACTATTCATATGTTTTTCTTCAGCATAATAAAACTTACTCTCTCTAAAAACTGTGACTCAAACATACTTTTTACTAAAAGTACAAGAATTATTATGTACTTTTAACAATTTTATTCAAATATTCCTTGACACAATCAAAAACACATGATTCCAAGAGAAGTATGACAAAAAATATTACAATAACATGTATTTAATGGAATGTTCTTTTCCTTGTTTACATGTATTTAATGGAATGTTCTTTTTCCTTGTTTACATGTATTTAATGGAATGTTCTTTTTTCCTTGTTTACATGTATTT